ATTAAATAAGGAATGAGCTACACTAGCCCAGTAAAGACATCACACTATCTCACCGCCACGGAAGTAAAGGTGGGTAGAAAACAAAATAACCAATGGAGCATAATTTATAACAAATTCTTTTATCAATAATAAAATCATTTACTATCCACTTACCTCAGCAAGATCAATGAAAACAACATAGGAAAATAATAACCTTACAATATCATGAAATCATATACACTTTATAACACAACATATATCGCACATTTACATTTCAATCATCAGAAAACAGATTTCCTCTTTTACCAGCCTACTAGTATCCTTGGGGATCCATAGGGGGTCCCCTGTACACGTGAATCATTAACATTTATAACCTGATTCCAGGGCCGTCCCCATACCCCGTCCGGTATGGGCGCCAAAACCATGAACCTCAATACCCCGTCCTGTATGAGGGTGAAACAAGCCGTCCCCATACCCCGTCCGGTATGGGCGCCAAAACACATAAGGTCTCAATACCCCGTCCGGTATGAGAGATCACGTTCCCGGTAGGGTTCCCTACGGACCCGGTCCGTCCACCATCTCCCATGATATCTAGTCAGACTGTCCACATTTTCCACTTATCAATTCACATAACCTTTTTGCCATTTTCCTTGGCCTCAATCATTCAATCACACACAACATATAAACCAGTAATTGACACCCAACCGATTCGCCTCGGGTTGGCCGTTTTTGGCCAAATTCGACCACGCTTGCATCGGTCCCTGAGATAAAACAACCCTAGGACCCTCGGTGGACTAAAAAACTACGAAAAACTGAAACTTACTGGCGGTGGTGCACTCGAGTGCGGCGGCTCCTCCAGCGTGAGTCGCGTTTTGATGTTTGGCTCCGATCAACCTGTAGAGAAAAGAATAGTGATCACAGTGGTATAAAATTTGCATCAAACGGGGGCCGGGAAGGGCCTCATCGGAGGCAAAAACCGAGGAGGGGTGCGGCGGCGCCGCTGGGTTTCGGCTTGGTTTTCCGGCCGTTTCACCGGTGGTTTGGCTCCGGTTTGGCCATAGGCGGACTCAGCATCGAAAAACGAGCAGGGAGGAGAAAATTTACCTCAATCGACGGTCGAAAACTTCCCCGATGCGGCGGCGGATGGCGGCGGCCGGCTCCTCCGGCGTCTGGTTCTTCTTCTCCGGCGAGGCACTGGCGGCTAGGGTTTTCTGGTCAGGTGTGGGTGGGGTTATTTATACCATTTTTCTTTTAATCTCAGTCGTTCATCAAGATTAAATCTGGACCGTTCGATCGCGATTTAATTGGAATTAAATATGGGCCGTTCATCGCGATGCAATCTGGGCCGTCCGTGCGCGATTGAATCTGGGCCTTCCGTGCGCGCGGGAACGGATCTGGGCCTTCCGATCGCGCGCACGCGGATCGCCCACGTGGCCTGTCCCCTGGTCAGCGTTTCCTTTCCACGCGGCGCGTCCTGGTTGGCCAGGGGCTGCTGACCGGGCCGCTGATGTGGCTGCTGACGTGGTTCTGACGTGACACAATTTTTATAAATTGTGTTTTGACCCCCGGTTTTCGATTTTCTTTTCAAAAACATCCACAGAATCCAAATTTTCACATATTTTTCTTAAAATCAATTTCAATTAAATTTAAATAATATTTTTACCCAATTTTATCATTATTATTATTTTTATTTTCATTAAATTAAATCAAATTAAATTAAATAAAATAAAAAATCAAATAAAATTCCAATAATTACAAAATAAAAGAAATTGAAAAAAAATAATAATAATAATACACTTGGGGTGTTACAATTAATGTGATAATACATACTTTAATTATCTATTTAAATTTTTAAATATGAAAATAAAGTTGAATTTTTAATTGATTATGCACCATATAAATTTTAAATAAAAATATTTTTGA